AGAGAGAGAGAGCACATGAGAAGGGGGAGGGTCAGAGGGAGAAGCAGACTCCCCGCCGAGCAGGGAGCCCGATGTGGGACTCGATCCTGGGACTCCAGGATCAAGACCTGAGCCGAAGGCAGTTGCTTAACCAACTGAGCCACCCAGGCGCCCTACTTCTTCTTTCTGGTATTGAAATCCCCCACCCAGATTTTCACTGGGGTTAAGGCCTTCCAACTATTGATGACAATTCCTGGCTTCACTTGCAATGAGGTGTGGCTCTGTGACTAAGTTCCGACTCATGACAACTGAACCAGAAGTGGTGTGTATAACTTCTAGGTTTTACCCTTAAATGGAAAGGATGTGTCCCCCACTTCCTATTTTCCCTTCTCAGTGTCTGGGGGACAGTCACAATAGCCAACATGGACAGAGATAGAAGCTGTGTGTTATATATAACAGAACTAATATACTTATCTTGCATTGCCTACTTCTGGACAGTCACATAAGAGAAAAATAAAACTTAATGGCACTGTGCGTCTCTTTGTTTTACCAGCTTAGATAGTTTACCCGATGGTACAGCCATCAGTGAATGCTGTCATGGAAGAAAAATGAGGAACCCAAGCAGACTGCTTCAGCCTTGGATTCTACTTGCTAGTGACCAAGTAGTGACTAATGGTAATACAAGGCATCTCAAGTTTCATAGTTCATAAGAAGACCTGATGATTGCTAAGGCCAATGATGGTTTTAATCCAACGTATCCTGTAAAATAATGGTATAATGAATCCTCATCCCGAACATATTTTAGCCAAATATACTTTTTAAGAATTCTGGTTTCAATAAATAGTCTCACACTACAGAAACAGTATAAACTATAAACATAGTATAAAATATAAACACTAGGGCCACCAGTAACAAAGTCATCAGTATTGGGTTTTAATAGCCACCAGACTGTCTTTGGAGAAGTATTTCTTCAAATACATCATCTTCGTGAATCCTGAAATCCCAGGAGCCCACGGGCCGGAGACCACGACCCTGCTGCCAGTATACTAAAACAACAATTTCCCAAATTTTTCATTGACTAGTCAGTTCCCTGCCACGTCTCTTTATCAACGCTGGGTGATTCACAAACCATTATGTGAGTATGTAAAACCTGATATCAGATACCTGACCAGCATCTCACTTGAGAATAAAGAATGAACCACCATTTGGACATGATAACTGAGGCAGATTCTACAGACTGGTTCACTCAACAACCGTTACAATCTCCTTTCCTGTAGAATAAAGGCTAGAAAGCTAAACCCCACATCCCCCAGAGAGTTCTGCGTGGGACCCAGGTTCTCCTAAGCCCACTCACATTCTGTAAGCTACCTGAGACCTTATATTAAATCTCTTTCTGTTTACACTGGCTCACCTCGATTCTGTTTCTGCAACTAAGAATCCTGACGACTACAGTGGTATTTTAATTCTCTGCCTCTTCAAGGATTGAAAACATGAGCTTCTTAGAACTTATTTGTTATGGCTATCTTCTTATCACTGGCACATTTAACATTAATTATTTGAATAAAGGAATTCTAATAAGGGAAAGAGAAGGAAGCACCCATCAGGAGGTGGGGTGGTAGGCGCAATTTGTGCTTGTCAGAGAAGCTACATAGCTGCCTTCTTTCTGGGCTGACTCACTAGCCCTCTGCAGAGACACAGAGTCATTTTCCCACTGGTCTCAATGTGGAAGCTGGCAGACTACAGAGGGCAACTGAGCTTCTGGATGGGGCACTTTGATAATGTGTTACACTTCCAGAGGCTAAAGGAGTAAGAAGCAGGAGCTAGTCCTTAGAAGCCCTGTCCATAGAGTCGTTAAGCCTGGTTCGTGTAGGTTTGTAGTTCCCAAAGTGTGGTCCCCAACCCGCAACAGCAGCACCTGGAAAGTTCCTAAAAATACAGATTCTCACCTGCAGGCCCACACCCCAGACCTACAGAATCAGAAACTCAGAGCTGGACCCAGGAATCTGTTTAGGCAAAGCTTCAAGATAATTCTGATGTGTGCTCAAGTTTGAGGACCAGTGTTGACCCTAGCTCAGGTTAAATGGAGTTTAAGAAAAATAGTGGCAGGGTAAGAAAGAGAAAAGACAATTGAAGAAACTGGACTTTGATTGCAACGGAGGCTCATGTTCGAATATAACAATATCTTTTCCCATGTGAAATGGAGAGAGCCGTCAGTAGAAAAAACATTGTGCTGAAAATCTAAGTTATTGGATTGGAATTTGGGATTTGTAACTAATAGTTAAGTAATGTTAAAGTAATCACTTAACTTTTCTGGGACTCCATTTCCTCATTTGTAAAAGGAAGAAATGGGATAAAATGTTCTTCAACACTCACAAATTCTGTTTTCTATCAGTTCTGGACAAAATTAACACTATTATCCCTGATTAGCTTCCTGAGTATTGTGCCCTTTTTAGTATAAACCTGATGATAGAAATTTCCCAGCATTCTCTTTCTCCACTTAGGAGCCATACCTGGAGGAAAATTAACAAAAGATACATGCAGTTCTCCACCTCAAGTCAATGGTCCAGGCGTATACTCCAGGACTGGTAAAATCCACTGCATATCTGAAAGGCCATATGTAACATATAAAATATATGGGAAAATAGTAATATTTTAGAAATATGTTCAAATTACTTATGTGTATCTTTTGTGGTATTGGTGCTTTTATCAGACATAAGATTTGAATATTAAGGACTAGATTTGCACAGTTCAAGATACTGTGTGTGTGTGTGTGTGTGTTAATTAAATGCTTTAATCTACTTCCAAATTTAAGAATTGAGAATCACTGGCATTCAGCCAAGGCTGAGGCAGGTAGTAATTACACTTGGGAAAACCACAAAATTACATCCTTTAACAATGTGGAAACATTGCAACATTGACAGAAGATTGTGTCCACTCAGTGAACTTGGGAACTATAGAGGAAAAAAAAAGCCCTCCGTGTAATTGAAGCCTGAGTGCTTGAAGGAAAGGAGGGTTTGGCCTACTATGAAACAGCAAGGACCAAGAGTTAATCAGTTAATGAATTTGCTGAAGATAGGAATGCAAACACATAGCATAGCTATCAAATAATAAATTAATAAAGAAAGCTAGAAGAAGGTACAGCAAAATGTGTGATCCTTAAGGCTGAGACTGTATCTTTCTTCCTACCACCTATCTTGGCAAATATTAGGTACTTAGCAAATATTTGAGGTTGAATGGATGAATAACAATTGAGAATAAGAGTAATTTAACTCTTTGTAAATAATTACAAAGAAACCCAAATTTTAGCTGTGTGTTTCAAGTAGCAGCAAGTTGCTTTACTTTCAGTGAACTTAAAATTTAGTATTTTTGCAGTGCCAGTGGAGAGGGCATGAAGATGTAATGTAAGTTATATTATATTGAACCTTGTGAAATTGCAGAGACTCACTGCTTTTGGCCTACAAAAATGGCAAATTTAAAGATTTTTTTTTTTTTTTTTTTATTT